CTCCCGGAAGTTCTCACCCATCTCTGCACGCCACGACCCGCACCCGCTCCTCCTCTCAGCCCCTCCTACTGGCCTGGATGAACGGGTCTACTTCAACTTCTTGGCTGTCTGACTTCCATTCAGATAAATTCTCTGTCAGTTCTGGGTGTTATTCTGGCTCTAAATTGTTGTTCTAATCTTGATTGTGCGTGGAGGTATGGTGCGTCCACCTATGCCTCCATCTTGCCGGAAGTCTCTGTTTATTTTTTTTTTTAATGAAAGAATTTTGTTCCTTGGAGCCACTAGCATATTCATCAGTAAGTTCTCCCCTGACCTTGGATAAAGGAGTCACAGACACACAAAAATCGCATAAATGTGAAGTGATACCTTGACATTATTACAGAACTGATAATGCCCTTGGATCACTTTATAAGAAGCATACATGTAGAGTGATTTCCCTTTGGTGACTGCATTAACCAATGCTGTAGTCTTTGGTGTAGCTTTGCATATTGCATATTCATTCCAGTCTTCTTTGGGAACATTTTGTGATTAGAAGTCTAGTAGAGTTGTATTATTGGCTTATTACTTTAAGTAGTTTTACTTGATGATCAGCTTTCTATCAAAGATAATCTTTTTGATCGACTTCTTGGAATTATTTTCATAATGCTTAAGACTGAAATTCCTGATGAAATGAAAGGCAGATAAATCCTCCATTTGGTTGGCAGAGAGTAGAAATGGTGGGGGTTTGAGGAAGGGAAGGAGGGAGAAAAAGACACTAAAATAGTGGGCTGTGGTGCCTTATGACTACATAGGTTTGTCTTGATCTTGAAGAGAGGTTAGGAATTTCATCTGTGGATTTCTGGCTTTTTAGCTGCCACAATTGTGTCTTTACTCACAAATGCAAACCATAGCCTATCACTTTACTTCTTTGATTTAGTATATGCTTTGCCTTTTCCTTCCAAGGAAGCTGTAATATTCTATCCCTTTTTTCTCCACATGAAGACTTACTGCAAATACTCTCCTACACATCCCTTTGATATGAAGAACTGCTGGACCTCAGCCAGTTTATTCAGATCTTGTTCTGCAGCACTGCACAGAGTCAGCAATTGGAAATCTCTCTAATTTTGTGTGACATAAAGGTGATCTACTCAGTTCTAGACCCCTTTGTTTAAAATACAGGTAGGCAAAAGATCACATTAAAAAGTCAGTGTTTAGAATAAGTAAGAGGAGGAGAACCAGTTTTTCTTGGTATCTGCATGGAATTACCATTCAATTCAAGTGATTAAATATATACCTTCAAACAACCTAATATCTTGACTCAGGCTAGGTTAGGTGCTCTTTTTCAGTGCTCCCATAATATCCTGTGTATGTATTCTTATTACTCTGCTTCTGTGTTATTTCATGATTGCCTGTTGTATGCCTTAAGTCTCCTGCCTGCCCCACATATCTTTATCTTAAACTGTGAACTCTGTGAGGATAAAAATTGAGTCGTACCACTCTACCTGGTACATAGTGGGTGCCAAAATAAATATTTGTGTGAATACATGAGTTTTTAAAAAGGAAAGTTACTCTTCAATCCTATTAGAACCTTAAAAATTTCCCCCTCCATTGGCTTTGTCTCCAACAATATTTTAGCACTGTGATACAGATTTTAGTAATAAATGTTATTCAAATTCAGGTAAACAATTTAATGAATCAACTTTTATTTCTCCAACTGAGTCATTGCCCTATAAGTTAATTAGAGCCTGAATTTCATTTCTAAAAATGAAAAGAACTAGAGCCCTGACCAGTGTGGCTAAAGGTTGCTGGTTCAATTCCTGATCAGAGCACATGCCTGGATTGCAAGCTCAGTCCCTGGTCAGGGCGTGTACAAGAGGTAACCAATCAATGTTTCTCTCATGTGGATTCTTCCCTCTCTTCTCCCCTCTACAAAAAATAAGTAAATAAAATCCTTTTTAAAAAAAGAGAGAAAAGAACTGGAATTACCTTAGTTTATCCCTATACCTTGTGAGTGATGTCCCCTCAAGCACCCCCTTCAATTCTCTTAGATCCTTTGTTTACTCTTAAGCACACCCTGTCCGTTCAGCATAAGTGAGCTAAGCCTCTGTAATGTGCAAGCAGGCACTATAATAGGAACATGGTTTGATGGGAGAGATGGACATTCAAATAAAGGCTTATAATATATCATGAAAACCTTATTGAGAGCTGGGACTGTTAGGGAAAGTTTCCCTGAGAAAGTGACATTTGTGCCAAATCTTAAAGGATGAGGGGTTTAGATTTTTGGGGCGGGGGTGAGCATTACAAGAAAAGGGAACAGCATATGGAAAAAACTAGAAGCCTACAGACACAGAAATGGCAAGTAGATATAAAGGAAAGTATTAGAAGATGAAGCCAAAGGTTAAAAAAAAAAGCAGACCTGAATGGATTCCTGCAAAGAGTTTGGAATTTAACCTGTAGGCCTAAAGGGAAGTCATTGAAAAATTTTAAACAGAGGAATGATATGATCTCACTATTTTCTACTTGTGTCTTTCCTTCAAGGATTTTCTGACCCTGTTTTTCCGTATCATTACTACTACTTTCTCTGCTAATGATTGTTGCCAAGTTAACTCATTTGGTTAGAGTAAAATGGTCTTAGGTTGCAGTTGGGAACATTATAAAACTGTATATAAAAACTACATTTGGAAATGTAGAGAGTTGCCTTCCTCTCCCCCTAACCCCCTACCAAAAAAAAAAAATCTGTACCATAGCTAGATAATGTGACCCTAATCCCATCTTGTTACCTAATGTAGTAAATTGATAGTCTTTGAATATGTCATTCCATTCTTACTGCAAAAAGGAAAAAAGTGATGTTTTTGTTTAAAAACTAATGTTCTGTAACCTTTTGATATACTACTTTAGCAAAATAAAGATGGACTACACAAGCAACTGAATTGTTACACTTAAGACTTTCTTAATATTTTGTGTTTAACCCTTTTTAGGCTTTTCATGTTCTATATTTAGATTATAAGTGAGCACACTAGACTTGAAACCAAGAGAGCTTCTATCAGGCAACCACAGTACTCATGGTGATTGTTGTTTTCATTTTTGACCCATTGCAAAGCGTCCGCAGTTTCATGATTATGCACAGGGTCTTAGCTAGTCTCACAAGAAATCATTTTTGAATTTTGACAAAGCTGTCATTCTTGGCATCTAAACTGAAGATAATTTGTGGCCAACCCATCATTTTCCATTTGTGAGTTTTGTTTAATTAGAAAGTAGTTTATGAGGTGTCCTATATTCTAAATGTAATTTTAAGTGACAGATGGATGGCACACATGCACATGACCTGGATGTCTCAAGCCTTTTTGCTTACTCACGCACAAGGGTCTTGATAAAGCCAGCTGCAGGTCTGGGAGACCAGCAAGCCTCCTCCTGGGGAAACCCAGGGGTCATTTGATTCATTGCTGCCACCTGCTGGGAGCTGGCCGCTGAAATGGGAAGGCTGCTGACCTGGTAGAACTGAGCCCAAGCAGGGCCACAGAAGGAACTCGTGTGCACGTAGTTCCAGAACTAATCAGCTGTTGTTTCTAGATGACAACTTACCCTTAAGTAAGAGGACTTTATAAACTGTACAATATTATACCAATGTAAGGTGGTATTAGGTTACGTTGGTTAACACATAATGTCCAGCAATGATAAGACTCAGAATACTTCAGAGACTCAAAAATCCTAGAATATTAGAGCTGGGAGAATCCCTAAAGCAGATGCTGTGGAACTTTAGTTAAATCAGAGTTTCTTGGGGTCTTTTGGAAATGCAGATACCCAGGCCTGGCCCCAAAGAGTTTGATTCACTAGGCCTAAAATGGGTCTTATTTAACAAGCGTCCCATGAGGTTCTGATGCAGGTAGTCTAGCACCACACTCAAGAAGGGCACTGCCGTAAACACTATCTAGGTAAGAGCTTATCAGTCATTTTTTTAATCAGTGCCTTATTTCAATAAATATAGTATTACATATTTCATCAAAGAGATAAGTCACTATAATACTGTAACTGGTTCCTTGAAGCATACACACAAACATCATTTTTGGATTGGTTTATTGTACAGCGGGGGGGAAAAACAATCACTTTTAAATGATTAACTTTTCTGTCTGCTCCAAGAAGGAGGTAAAGTACTATAATTTATACCGGTTAGTTTATAGTGGATGCTTTTGGCAAGCAGAGGTAAGATTTGGTATTGCATTTATCACAGCCATCATTTCCATAAACCTAGTAATCATTTGGTATTAATATCTGTTGAATTTTCAGGGACCTGAAATACCACAATGCAGAGTTCTGCTCTACAGTAGCTATCTGCTTGCCTCCTTCCTTCCTTAGGAGGAGCCACACATGACAAAGCTGCTGCCCCCAGGGTTTTAGCAGGGCTAACTATCACTTCTTATCCTCACTCAGTCTTGATAAGCTTGGCCAAGATAACAATAGTAAAGACAAAAATGACTTTCCTTATTACACAGGAAAAAGTAAGTGATCTGAGAGCAAATTTGAAAACTCAGCTTACAACTGAGAATTCTGGATACCTGTCATGTGCTTGCCTCATAGAATATTATTGTTCCAAAAATATTTGTCATGTTTTATGTGCTACTGCTTCTGAAATGACTGGTTCAAGAATTATTGTCTCTGAACTTAGGCCACTGAACTCAGAGGCAGGTTACACTTGGTATACAGTGTCATCTTAGTAAGCATTGGGCACCAATAATTTTCTAGGCTTTTTTTTAACTCTCAGGTCATTGTCATTCAGGACTTCCAACCTCTTTAATGTAGATGATCATATATTGAATGCAGTTATCATATATTGCATGTATAGAATTGAAAGGCAGTTTATTGAACCTCTTTATAGAGAAACCTTGTTGTGTTTACAGCATCATAATTTTTATTACTTATAAAATGTGATTTGGTATATCATTTTATGTTAAATTTTGTTTCCAGCCTTCACAATCTCATCTCTTTGGGTTTTTTTGTTTGTTTGTTTTGGGTTGTTTTTTTAGGGCTACCTGAAGGAAATCTTAAAAGAAATTGGTATTCAAAATGTAAAAGGAATCCACAAAAACACATGGGAGCTGAAACCAGAATATAGACACTATCAAGGAGAAGAAAAGAGTGATTAAGAAGACTCTAAGCCAGCATGCTAACAGAACTCAAGGGTGATGTGTTAAACATACTGCGTTGATACTTGAGCACTTGAGCACCATCTGTTACAGGGGTAAAATGACTGATACTATGATTTCTCTAGGTAAATTTTTTAAACAATAATTCTTGAAAAGTTACTTGTTTTTTTAAGAAATAACAAATTTATTTATAGACTTAACTTGTATTAAATCAGATTATTCATGTGAGGATAAGATGTTATGTAATTAAAGCAAATCAAGGAAATAACTATCCACTGAGATAAATATTTTTCTGTATTATTTGATTTTTTTAAACATCAGAACACCAGAATTCTGAGGGTGAGTGCCACTGCACTAAGAAAATTTTTATCCTTGCATTCTCACTGTGAAATAAATCTGGATTAAGGAACATGGTCCCTGTTTTCCTGCCCTGCCTCCAGCTGTCTTATCCTACTTTGTTCTGATGTGGGAAGCAAACCATTTCCCAGTTGCCTTCTAATTCTTAATTATTTGAGACTTGGTGTCAGGAAGCAAGTGGATAATGGTATGATAAATCTGTATAGGACTGAGGATCCTTGATGCCTGTTGTGTGCTTGGTTTGTAGCATAGAACTTTCCCAGAACCTTGTCTTGTTTGGAACTGCCCTGAATCACACCTGTCTTCTACCCCTGCCTTTTGTTTTTGTGGTGACAGTGCCTGCTAGGGGGAACTTGGTGACTGCTAATAGCGTTTCCAGATCAGAGTTGTGTGTCATTTGAAGTCATGCTTTGCTATTTCTGCAGACCTGGTTTTTTTTTTGTTTTTTTGGTTTTTTTCAGCTTATTTTAGTTACCTTTAGCTCATCATACCTGACAGTATCTGCTTGAGTCTTTTAAACACTTAATTTGAGTCTCTTAAACACTTGTTACCTTTCAATAGGATAGCTGATTTGTGTAGTAGACTGGTGTCATTCCTGATTAGTTTTTTGGAATTGCTTTCTTAATCATTACTAAAATATTGGCCATGGAAGAGACACCCTTTAACCTGGGTTTCCATATTCTTTCTTTTCATAAAGATTTTTTTTTTTAATTTTTAGAAAAGGGGGAAGGCAGGGAGAGGGGGAGAGAAACGTCCATGTGCAAGAGATACATCAATTAGTCACCTCTCACGCACCTTCTACTGGGGACCTGGCCTGCAGTCCGGGAATGTGCCCTGACTCAGAATCGAACCAGTAACCTTGTGGTTCACAGGCCAGGACTCAATCCACTGAGTCACACCGACCAGGGCTGGGTTTCCATATTCTTTTATTTCAGGACTCTCTTACTCAGAAAACATGCTTTTGACAGCAGAAATGAAGAAGTAAAAATCCTAAACCCTAAACCATTGTGAGATTGAGAGGAAGGCTAATACACAGGAAGGCCTTATATAATAATGAGATTGTTAAAACTCAGCCAGTACAGGAATTTAGGGCCTGTTTTAACTGTCAAAATGTAATAAGATATGTTTTCTGGGCATTGGAAAGATTTTAAATTACTTGTTGCCACAGTAACTTCTAAAGTGATACATCTTAAAAAAGAGAACAGAATTTTCTCTGTTGTATTATAAGTAGCTCTTGTGGGTTTCAGCAGTATTGCAGTTCTTATGGGTCTATGAACAAATTTTCTTTGAAGCATATTTTGATCAATGTTGGTATACATCAGTGAAATAAAAGTAAACACTTTTCAGGTGCTTACGCGCTGGACAGTATGTTAAATGCTCTAAAATATCTCATCGAATCCTCAGATATAGTGCTGAAAGATAATGTCCATTTTATAGAACCATTTCCTGCCCACCATACATACCCTCATGAATACTGCTCCCTCTTTGGAGGAATGCCACCCTTAGGGCAAAGTGAGTAAAAGAGTGTACTTACTTTCTAAAAACTTGCCCTCCCCCTATGCCCCCAATCATACCTGCAGACCAGGAAGATGGTGCTGATTGCAGACAGAGTTGTGAGGAGGGGAGTTTATCTCTGGCATCTGTGCTTGAATTCAGACATCTAAACAGCCCTTCTCACCTCCCCCCTTTAAAGTGAAGATCCTTTTACTAAAATTTGAATTTCTGTTATACTTCAAGTACCTGGGGTAGGGTGTGTGCTGTGTGACTTTAGAGTGGACTCTTTTAGACCTCCATCAGACTTAAGGAGCCCAGTGGAATATGACAGGCAGTGGGGCACTGAGCTGAAGGGGAGCTGCCTTGGATTAAGACTTCACGTGCTGCAGACACCCCTTTCATATCAATACATTAGCCATCTTCCCTGTCATTTTTGTAAGAGTCCAGGAGATGATAAACTGCTTCTCTTTTTGATTGAGTTTTCTTTCTAACGTATGTGCAGAGCAGGTTCCTGAGTATAGTTTCATTTGCATGAAGTGTAAGAGGTATCAGAGATCACTTTTGAACCTGCCTTTTCACATACTCACATTACTTTGAGCAGGTACCACTGTCCATAACACAATTATATGATGTAACTTCTGACAGATGAGCAGTGTGAGCCTTTAATAGTTTAAGAAAATTAACAGTTTTTTAAAAGATGTTATTTATTTATTTTTAGACAGAGGGAAAGGGAAGGAGAAAGAGAGGGAGAGAAACATCATTGTGTGGTTGCCTCTCGTGTGCCCCCTACTGGAGACCTGGCTCAAAGGCCTCACTCAATCCACCGAGCTACACCAGCCAGGACGAAAATTAACAACTTTTATCTGATTTTGTTAGAAATCATCTAAATGAAGGACTTTTTAGATGGTTTAGCTTACAGTTTAAAGTAGATTCTTAGAAGTCATTTAGGCTTAAATTTTAGGTTTTTAAATAATTATTTTCTTAAAGTGTAACCATATTTTTAAATGTGGAAATTTGTATTTGTAAGGTCTTAAGAAGATAGTTTAGTTTTGTTTTTTATTATTTAGTGGAAATGTAAGTACACCAAAAGAACATGTTACTGGACTAAAAATTTTAATCTGGTATGTTCATGGAACACAGTGGCTGTTTATTTGGCAACTATTTATTGACCATGAATATATTCCAGGCACTGTGGGATATGAACACATAATAGTCTAGTGGGAAATACAGAGTGTGGAAAGGTAACAGTGCCGTGTGGGTCCTGAAGTGTGAACTAAGCGTTACACTCAGTCAAAATATTCCAGTTAATTCATTGTTGCCATTTAGACTCTACATGGATTTCCAATTTTTAAAGCATTTGAATGCAGTAATATATGCTTAATTTTAAAACGACCTTGAATATAATTTAATCATGGATAATTTATAAGACACAAAAGGACTTACACAATGCCTAAGAATCATGATTATGAATACATACAATGTATGCCTATAATACATCAATTTCATTAATAGAAAAATGAATTAAAGACTTTACTGGGCTAGTCCTCATGACATTTAAGCCTTACTTCTGATTTCCACTCTAGTTTCTCTCCTTGGACAAAAAGCCCGTGAACCGCTTTGGCCATTCATTCATTCAGTGAAAAATCCATGGAAATGCCCACTGTATGCCAGGCAACAGGGTTAAAGGTGATGGGTGTTTGTGGTAATGTGCCTTATATGCTACCAGTTCTTTTCCTATTTGACTAAGTAAGCAAGAAGAATAATAGCTTTTGTTTATTAGGCCTTTATTATGTGCAGTCACTGTGCTAAGCATTGCACTCACAACTCATTTAATCCTCACAGCAACCTTACAACATAGGTTCTCTTCTTACCCTTGTTTTATAGATGTTCAGGTACTAAGAGGTTAAAGAACCGTAGTCATACAGTAGTCAGGGTCAGAGCTGATTCAGATCCTAGAACATCACTCTGGAGTGCAGGGTCTTAGTCACCCTTATGTATGTATAAATCATGGGTGCTACTTGCTGATTGCCCACAGCTGTGATTTATTTGCCCAGAGTCTTTCATCTTTGGGTTTTGTTTCAATAACTACTAAGATATAATTTACATATCTCTCTCACATTTGACTTCTCCTCACTAATGAGGGACAGAATCTCAAGCGTTATCATTCCTGAATCAAAAAAGAGAGTGGACTCTGAATTCTACCTGAGTTGTTTTGACTTTAGAGATTTGGTTTCCAGTTCTTGTTCAGGTTCTAGAGTCTCTTACTAGTGGAATGATACTCCTTTTTTTTTTCCCTGCTCTAGATTCAGACGAGCTATTTCCCAGAAATGGTTGCAGATGGTCAATATACTTGATTTACTTAGATCCTAGACCACCCAGTGAAAGTCAGTCCCACACTCATGAGAGAGTTGTTGACTTGGCTAACCACAGGGGAAGATCTGTGTTACGGCTTAGTGAGCACACAGGACGCCTATTAGCTTGAGACTGCCAAGTATGAGAATAAGAGCTGAACAGATAAAACTGTCTTTGCTTTTAGAAACTTACAGTATTGAAGAGGACTGTGAAATAAATAGATTGCAGCATAATGTATTAAGTTTAGCAATAGAAATACATGTCAGCATGTTTTATGAGCTACCTGGATTCAAAGCCTATGACTTAGAGCAAGATGTTTACCATCTATGCCTTAGTTTCCTCATCTATAAAATAGAAATATTAAGAGTATTTGTCTCATAGAATTATGGTGAAAATTAAATAAGTGAACATATGTAAAGCATTTAGAAAACTCCGAGATACATAAAAAACACTTTATTGGTATTAGCTTTAACATATACAAAATATATAAAATATGGAGCTAGCACAGAGAATGAAATGATTAATTACATCTTTGGGGAATCAGGAAAATCCTTAGAGGAGTTGGTATCTAAATTGGGTTTTGAAGGGGTCTGAAGAGTCGAGGCAGGAAATACAGAAAGAACAAGTGCAAGGGCATTAAGGAGCAGCCTTATTTCACTTGATGTTTGGGGTGAGAGTCTGTACACACCTTCTCTGTAGCTGGACAATCTCAGTCTGATGAAAGAACTTGAAGGTCAGGTAATTTTACCATGGGCGCAGATGAAATGGGTGAGGAGCTAGGCAGGGCTAACTTCCTTCAGTTGTACACACCAGTTCAAAATGATGCAAACAATTCAATTATTCCCCCCATTTGAAACATACTTTTTAGTCCAACGATACAGAATGCTCCATTTCTACACCATTCAGTGTGAGGGTTAGGAAATACGTTAAGTCCTGCCATCAGGGAAGGCCCTTTCCCTGGAGAAAATGTAGGCTAAGGGGATAGACTGCACTTCATCAGACATTTATTGAATTTCACCCTGCTGCATCCTGGGTGCCACCCGAGGTACTGGGGTAGGGAAGCCATGGGTGCCGAGTTAGACCCAGTCCTCATCCTGCACTGCACTTCTGAGAGCCTGCAGATTGTTCCTGTCAGGAAATGAGGTGAGAAGCCCATCAGAGCCTGTTTACAGTGTTAAAGGCCTGCTCTGCTGCCTTGAGAAATTC